GGATCGGATCCTGAAGCTGTGCCAGGATATTTTCCTGGTGCGGGAGACGGGCGAGCTAGAGCTGGAGGAAGAGCTCTACGCCAAGCTCATCTTCCTCTACCGCTCGCCTGAGACCATGATCAAGTGGACACGGGAGAAGTAATAAGGGGAAGGGGCTCCAGCCCCCTCCCCTCACAGGGGCATCACCGCCAATGCCTTAACCAGCCCCTCCAAAGCTGGGACCGCATCCTGCCCTGGGAGGCGGTGGGATGTGGGGTTCTGGCCGCTCGCTTTGAGGGAGGATGTTTTTCTGGATGTTTTTCTTACGATGTTTTGAAGCTGTTCCACCTGCACAGACCACGTTGTGCCTTCCCAGGGAGGGGGACAGCAGGTGGTCCCCCCTGCCCCCTGGGTGCCCCTGGCTGCCAGGTGGGGATGGGGGGGTCAGGAGCCAGCCTGTACCTTCTCCCTTGTTGTCCCCAACCCTGTTCCAGAACCAGGTTGAACTCAAAAGCAATAGCCCCCTCATCTCCAGGATGGGGGTCCTGAGTTATGGCCCCTCCAGTTGGGGGGAGGGGTTCTGGCAACCCCAGTTGGACTTTAGACACTTGTTGACTTCGAGTTTGTTTTTGTTTTTTATGAATTCAAATGGTTTATTTATATAGATATTGAATAAAACAAACTTGAGGCCTCCCTGGCTGACAGGTAGCTGGGGCAGGGAGGGTGGGGGGACCAGGGACATGCTACCCTGGGGTTACCAGCACTCCTGGCCCCCAATAAATGGGGGGGTGGGGGCTCTCCCTGCCCTTGGCTGGAGCAGAAATGGGTGCCAGGGGTCCCCACCAAGCTCTGGTGGGGCTGGCACCTGCCCCAGTAGTGCCACTGAGGGACGGGGGTCTGTGTCCCCCACTGTCCCCAACCCCTTCAGCTCTTGCTGCGCTCCTGGTTCTGTTTCTGCCGCTCCATCTCCGCACTGCAAGGGATGGACACACTGGATGGATGGACATGGCATTGGGGGCTGAGCCAGTGGGGAGGGGACTCCCACCCCCCTTACCTGTGGATCCTGCGCTGGGCCTCAGCACGTATGTACGGTGGCAGTGTGGTGAGAGGGCCCTGCAAGAGATGAGGGGTGAGGCTGGAGATCCCCATCCCCATGGAGAACCACCCCACTGCACCTCAAAAGCCTCACCAGCTCCTTGAAGGTGAGGCGGCAACTGTAGCACAGTAGTGGAATATAGGCAGCTTTGCTCTCAGCCCTGTGGGAACAGCGACAAGGACAGGGACACTCATTGGTGTCACTGGGGTGGCCTCAGAGGGGGTATGGAATGCTGGAATCCCCCTGCCCACATGCTCACCCCTGCTGGCAGCACCCATTCCCCTCTGGCTCCAGCTCCTCCCAGATCAGTGTGGGCTCCAGGGCCAACTCCTCCTCTGCAAGAGCCAAAGGGCAGGGGGGCAATTGTGGGGTGCACAGCTGCTCCCCAAATCCTCTGAGCCCCCCATGCCCAACCCACTCACCTCCCTCAATGTCCAGGCCACAGAGGCAGAGGAGGCAGCGCTGGGACTCGCTGCTGGCCTTGGCTGGGTCTGGGCTCAGCTTCTCCCCTGTCCTGCAGCCAACACAGGGTGAGTGCACCCCAATCCCCCAATCACTCCCCCCACCCCACTGTGCCTCCACATGGGGGTCCCTGTACCGGTAAACGGTGCTGATGGTGGAGGGGAAATCCTCCTGCAGCCCCAGGAGGAAGCGCTCGATCAGGTGGTGGATGCTGGGCTTCTCCCGGCGCTGTGGGGGCAAGTGGAGAGGGTAGGGGCAAGACTGGGAGGTCTGTCCCCACCATGGAGACACAGCTTGGGATCCCCAACATGGGACACCCCTACCTTGGTGAAGAGGGGTGGCACGATGACGGTGGGGATGTTGAAGAAGTGGTTGTAGAAGGCGATCTCCTTGGCCGTGTAGTCCCGCATGGGCCGCACCACCATCACGTCGCCGTGACGCTTGTCCGTGAAGCCCTGTGGGTGTGTGGCTGCCAGGGGACTGTGCCACCACCAAGCCTTGGACACCCCCCATGGCATCATGTCACCCCTAGGGTGCAGGTGACCGTCCCCAACTCACTGTGTCGACGGCGAGGAAGGCACCGCGGCCCAGCGACAGGTTGGTGAGGAGCTTGATGGCCACGCGGGTGCAGGTCTCGCCTGTCATCACCTTGGAGTAGCCCCTGCTCCGGGCCATCTGCAGGATGAGGTGGGTCCTGGGGGTGAGGTGACACCGGTTCAGAGCCACCATGCCACGCTGGTGCTGGAGCCGGGCAGGATCAGCCCCTCACCGCAGCATCTGCAGCAGCTCCTCCCGTGCTGTCGATGTCTCCACGGCCTCGAAGATCCGAAGCAGCTCCTGGGTTTGGGCAGTGTCAGGCAGGCGGGGAGTGTACGGGGGTCCCACTGGCATGTCCTGGGTGCTATGGCCAGGCAGAGAGGTGGCACTGTCCCCCTCCTGTCGCTTCTGCTGGATAAAGCTGTCCACAGCCTCCTTGTAGGAGGGGCCAGATGGGCCGGACTTGCTGGACTGCTCTGGCCCCGGCTGTAAGATGGATGGGGGCAGCTCCAGTGCCTGTGGGGCAGAGATGGATACAGGGGGAAGTTGGGGTGTCCAGGTGTGTCCCCTCACCTCAGCACCTGTCCCCATGTCACCTCAATACCTCCTCTAGGTGGATCAGGTGGTAGGGGAAGCCGGTGGCCTGCAGCAGGGTCTCCATGTGGGCCAGGGTCTGCTTCCGCTGCTCTGGGCTCTGCCTGCGCACAGCTCCCTCTGGAAGGCAGGTGGGCAGTGCCAGGGCCACTGTCACGGTGAGGAGGGGGCACCCACCGCATCCATGGGGCCAGGAGGACAACCCAGGGTGCCATGGCCTTGCTAGGCTGGATGGCAGCACCCCGGGTCTGGCATGGTGCAGTGGGATCCTATGCTGGGAGCAGGTAGTGGGGCATGGAGGGGGGAGTGGAGCTGGGAATGGGGCAGGGAGCAGGCACTGGGTCAGGGAACAGGCAGTGGGGCTGGAAGTGGGGCAAGGAGCAGGCAGTGAGGCAGGGAACAGACACAGGGGAGGGGAATGGGCAGCAGAGCTGGGAGGAGGTAGCGGGACAGGGAATGGGCAGTTGGACACTGAGCACGCAGCAGGGCCAGGAATGGGCTGGGAACAGGTCTGGGAATGGGCACTCGGACACGGAGCAGGCAGCAGGGCTCATCCTTACCCTCAACGTAGACAAGGCCGGGGACGAAGCGGAGCCTCTTGGCTGCCTCCCGGCTGAGCCCCTGGCAGAGGTACAGGGTGAGCAGGGTGGGTGAGCTGTGCCCCCCCTGACCCCTCCTGAGCCCCCCTCTCACCTCCTGCACCTGCCGGACCATGGCACTGGAGGCTGAGCCCCCCGACAGCGCCAGCAGCACCTGCAAGAACAGCAAGAACAGTCACCGGCCCTGGTGCCACCACTGGGTCCTCCCTCTGCATTCTCCCACCCCTGGTACCTTCTCTCCTGGGAAGATGATGCGGTTCTTGCCCAGCATTGCACGGAATTTGTGCACGAAGTACTCACGGAAGCAGCCACTGTGGGGACACGGGGACACAGGAACCCCTGAGTCTGTTCCACTGCCC